ATAGTTACCCCCATAAAGTCTTACTCTTTACATCTAACCAATTTAAATGGGTACATATTACTGAGGGTGAAATGGGTGGTAAAAAGCTGAAAATGAGAGCATCATGAATAATGTGAAGTTTCAGGGCTGGGTGAGCCTAGAAAGGATACACCTCTCCATTGCCACTCTATTTCCAAGAATTCTAAAACCAAAGAATATCAGCTGTGACCATCTTTATGAAAATAACACTTTTTTACCCCTAATTTCAACACATAGTTCTAAGATCTGCCCTTGGTACAAGGAGGAGGCCAGAAATCTGTATATAGAAAGAAGATAAATTTCTAACCAGCATTTTGAGTTGGAAAAAAAGAAAAATATATAAATAGGAAATCTCTAAAATCTGATGGCTTCATATCTAGTTTACAAATAATCAAAGGGACGCCCACAGTGTCTTCATTTTGAGTTTGTCAGACCACATACAGTTACTTCCCAACCCATCGTAAACAGATGCTGCTTTTTAAGGACCAGGGCCTTCTCTAAGCTGCTTCCTGGAAGGCAGTGTGCTCAGGTACCAACTCTACTAGCACTGATCCACGAGGGGTCCAGGACACTGATTACACCTTGGCCTCAAAAAGGGAACATCTTGAAGGTTTCCGGGCTGGACAGAGTATTTAGTGAGTATAATTCTGTTGCCATCCCTTTAGAAGTTCCGAGAAAACTTCAAAATCAACAAATAAATAAAAATATCTAAATGCCAGGCCCATCAGCAAAGAAGGTTAGTGCTATTTTCATTGTCAGCTAAAGCGGAAAAAAAAAAGAGATAAGCATATGGGGCAATTGAAAGGTTACATCTTTCTTTTGGAGATGGTTTGCTTCTGAAAGGTTAACTCGAATGCTTGACTTTAAAAAATCAAAATCATCAGCTGCAAATGCTTAAAGCAGTTGGGGGTACCTTTTGAAGAAGAAAACAAAGGGTCTGAAATGTTTGAAAATTACTTAGCCCTCATATAAATGGTGCTTGTATATTTATATGCTTACTCTGTAAATGTACACACACACCACAACTCATTTCTCTTCATTTCTCAAATATGATTGCTTGTACTCAGGCATTTTTTTGTTGACACAATATAACTTTTTAATAACTTGTTAGCTACTCTAATCATTAGACAGTACCCAGAAAACAATGTAGTTGAAATATGAACCAGGACAGCTTTCTGCCTCAATCAAAATCCACAGCTCCACACAGAAACCAGTCATTTGCAGCATCTGCAGCTTCGGCTAAATAGGGTCTAACAATATATTTTGCTGTTCACATGCATGTATTTCAGGACCTAATAGCCCATGAAGACAAGTATGAAGAGAACATCTCCAGAAGCAGACATTAAAGGTACCAGCAAAAATAATAGACTACATTTAAGTTTGAAGCATTATTTTAGGCGACCTACATCATTAATGACTTTTTCTTTGTGGTGGGTGTTACAGAAAAGAATGCATAAGGTGGGTTGGCATAAATATTAGTTTCTACTATAAAAGTTCCTTTTCTGTGAGATTTTTCACAAACACACACACAGTACTTCTCAAATGCTTTTAAAAAAGTATTTGGCCTTCAAAGTCTAAAAAATATGTTTAAAATATGAAGTATTTTTGAAGTACATATTTGCCCCTACATTTATCTTTAAAATACCCTACTTAAATCATATATTATAGTATAGTTATTATACCATGACATTAAAATTTAAAAGAAGGCACCAGGTTTATAATAATGAGACATTCATATTTCCAAGTTTGAAGTAAACTGCATTTAGAAAAAAAAAATGCACTCATTTACTATCTTCCTAAATTCAACAACAAAGTTACAAAAGTACTATTGTTATGATTATTAATATTATCATTCTCATATCACACTCCCACACATTCTGATCTCTAATGGGGAAGGGAAGGATTATTAATTGAGGTGTCTATCTTTCCTTCCTGGAGAGATGATCTGCCTTTAATTCCTCCAAACGCTACACTGTTAATAAATTTCAAACCTCCAAAGCAAACTGGAGACAGCTTTTGGTCTCACAAACTGTTGGAGCCAGCAGCAAGTCCTGCTTAGGTGCTCCACTTCCTTAAATCTGGCCACACCTTGCAAGGTGGCACTCTTTCCTGAAAGGTAGCCATCTACTCTTAAAACCACAATAACATTTTTAAAAAGCTAAACACCACCATTTCCAGTTTTTGATCGGAAGTTCACCAAATCTCCTCAGCCAGTAAAACTTTGCTACAGAAAGTTCACCAAATCCCCTCAAGCCAGTAAAACTTTGTTGCCTAAAAGTGACAAACACAAACATCAAGAGATGAAAGAACACGTCAACAAATGATTTTTAAAGAGAATTTAACGCTTTGGTTTTCTACGCTGTGAAAAATTGTCACTTTTAAATAAATGTGAGGATCTTAAGAGGATGTCATGCTTTTAAGGGTTTTTCCCCACTTGCTTTTCTCCTCAGAGCCACTTCCTGAACTCACATAGTATATTAAGAAGCAGGCCCAGGTTCCCCCTTGCCCAGGGTGAGGTCAGTGTCCACCTCCCGCTTGGACACATCCAGGCCCTGGCATCTACAGCCAAGGCCCTGATTCGTAGTCTCCAGCTCCGGTGTCTGCCTAATGGGGCGATCGTGCAGGCTACAGCCAGAGACAAAGAAGCTCGCGCTCCTACCAGGGCAGCTAACTTTGAGGGAGCAGCATAGCTTGCAAATCTATCAAACTAAACTGCAAGAAAGACAATCTGATTTAGAGAAAAGGCGTTCCGCTACAGTCATTAAGCACAAGTAATTTAGATTTTTTATATTGTCTCCTCATTTACAAATTTACTGTATCAACGCCAGCCAATGGAACGAATTTCTTAAGTAAATGAGAAATAAATAAAAGAGATAGAAAGATAATAAAATTACATAAAATAATTCTCTCCCCTAGATGTATTTTTGAGAGAACTAATAACAGTAGCAAAATTATAGTGATAATAACATATCATAGGAAGTAATTAATTTAAATTAGCATCCCGTTTAAAGAAATATAAGTAAAACGCTTTATGGACATTTACTTTTGTACAAAGAAGGAAGGCCTGGAAAAGCATGCATTGACATCCTGAAAATTAGTTATAGCCATAAATGGCTTAATTGAAGACGGCAGTTTAAAATATGATATTGTAAATCTGTAACTTGGTTTCAGCCTGGGGAATTTAATTTGGGAGCAGCGGAACCCTCGGCTGCAAGTTCATTTGCAGCGCTGCAGAGCGAGCCCCGAGCTCCTGACAATTCGTCTGCATTAATATTGATGTCGCCGGTGCCATCTATTTCTGTTATTTTTACGGTTGTTATTCTACGTCTGCAAAGGTCATTTAAATTATACTGCGGCCTAAAATTTGTTTCATAAATTTTGATATAAATACTAATTACACCCGCTCGGAGAGCCAGCAGGGTAGCGTTCATTTATCACGTTTATACAACCTGCGATGACAGAAAGGGAAGGCGGGGGAGACGGCGCAGCTTGTCCGGGAACCACTAAGGGCGGCGGAGGGCAGCGGGTCGCTGGGGTCGTGGGGCCGGAGAAGAAGAAATCCTGCCACAGCCACTGAGATTTAAGAATCTTTAATAAGGTACGAAAGATTACCAAACAGTTCTGGAAACTAAAGTGTACATAACGAGTTCTTCTAGCCATAAATATTGAATAGCTGTAACAGGAATGAACCGGCCCTTTACATGCGGATAAATATGGTAGGTATGGAAACTAGGAACTATATACATTATGTGGTTGTATCTTTTGCCAAAAGCAACTGACAGTTATAGTTTATATCTTTTTTAATATCACTTTACATAAACAAATGGAACAGTTTTGACACGCAGATCCAGGCTCCTACTATACGAAATCTTGACAGGACGTGAAACAACATTTTACTGCACTAAAGTACTTAGACTTTGGGACGAAATGTTTGCACTTTATACAAAAAAAAAAAAAAAAAAAAAAAAAGCACATTAATACCAATATTCTGTTAGGTCGACGTGGAGACTGTAATCGTACAAAGTAATTCACATTTTGGTACACATTTACTAGGACATTCTTGCCATTCAGTACAAACAGTTGGCCT